CATGAAACACATGAAACCAGATCACAACCAGGCTTTATACACAGACTTGTGTCTATACCACTTGCTCAGCAGAATCCACTGTGGGATCTGCTCCCTGTTTATGGAGCTGTGGATGCATCAGCAGTAAGTTGTGTCCCAGGCAGGGTAGCTGAGGGGCACCCCAGCCCATCAGGAGTGGCAATAGATGAACTGTCGTTTTATAGCATTTACGCACCTTCGACTCACACATCACTAAGAGTCAAAATGCATTGAACCCCATTTTTAACAGCCAGGCAAAGGGAGAAAGATGTGTGAAGGAATTTAAAGATGCCTCTTGAGAATGTAACACAAGCTACCCTCTAAAACTTTCTTGGGAGAAAGAGTTTTTGTTTAAGGGAAAATTAAAATCCAAACTCTGCTGAAAAGCAAAAGCAAAAGCTTTTGTTGTTTAAGTAAGAAAGATAGATCGAAGCTACAAGGTTAAGAAATGAGGTGTTGTAGGGCGGCAGTGGGGTCAGAACGTTTGGTTCACAGGTAAGATGTGGTCTGCGAGAAATTAATGAGGGAGGAAAGAGAGGAAGATGCCACAATAGAATTAAATCAGAGGTCATGTCCTCAAGGTAGATGTTCACAAGATCTATCATACTCCAATTAAGAGTCTACAACACGAAAACAAACCTGGCGTTCAAAAATGAAGGCGGTGGATCTTCAGAAAAGTTCAAAAAGAATGGTCAGTGGCTAAGAGATCAGGGCAGGAAAAGAAAGGTGAATGTGTTGGCTCCCATCCAGTTAAGGACTGTTTCAAACTTTTATGTCCAGATTATGGCATAAGAGGCTGCAAATTCCAGTGTGCATACAGGTTATGTTACATGATTAGGGATGGCCAGAGTGGTGCCCGGTGGGGCCAACTCCACACAGCGTGGCTCAGCTCCAGCCCGTTGTTGCCATGCAAGATGCAGGCCCAGTTCTGCCAGAGACTGATTTTTCTAAGATGTGGCAGAAATCTAGCATGTGTGTATGTAAAACAGTGGACAGCTGGTTTTTTTATAATACCACGTGGACAAAGCAAGACCTGTCTGTAGGCTCATTTGCTCTCAACTCTCTAACTTCTTCCGTCCTCTTCAAGAGGTGGCCTCTGTGGCTCCCCAGATTTTCTCTGAATCCAGTTCATCAGACTCAGAGTTGAAAAATGCATTCCTTTTCTCCTGTCATTGCACTGGACAAAAGCCATCAACATCTCCCCATGGCCAAGTTGGTGAATTTCAAATGTTTCAGCCCTACGCTCAAGGCTCTGCATAGTCCCCGCAGTCTCACTCTACAAAGTTCCATCCTGTGCTTCCCAACAGGAACCTGTGGCCCAAACAGGAAATTCTATGCATTTTCCCTCAAATAAAATCTGTACATTCCTGCAGTCTCCCCTTAGTTCTTTTTGTATCTTCAAACTTTTTCTTTTGAAGAGGTAGTGTCTTACTCTGTCACCTAGGCTGGAGCACAGTGGTGTGATCATAGCTCACTGTAGCTGTGAACTCCTGGGCTCAAGCAATCCTCCCACCTCAGCTTCCTAAGTAGCTGAGACTACAGATGTGTGACATAATGCCTGGCTGATTTTTTGATTTTTTTTTTTTAATAGAGATGAGGTCTCACTATGTTGCCCAGGCTGGTCTTGAACTCCTGCCTCACTCAATGAAAGTGCTAGGATTACAGGCACGAGCCACCATGCCCAGCCTCTTTTTCCTTCCTTCCTTCCTTCCTTCCTTCCTTCCTTCCTTCCTTCCTTCCTTCCTTCCTTCCTTCCTTCCTTTCTTTCTTTCTTTCTTTCTTTCTTTCTTTCTTTCTTTCCTTTTCTTTTCTTTCTTTTTTTTTGAGATGAAGTCTCACTTTGTTGCCAGGCTGGAGTATGCAGTGGCATAATCTCAGCTCACCGCAACCTCCACCTCCTGGATTCAAGTGATTCTCCTGCCTCAGACTCCCAAGTAGCTGGGACTACAGGTACCCGCCACCATACCTGGCTAATTTTTGTATTTTTAGTAGAGACAGAGTTTCACCATGTTGGCCAGGATGGTCTTGATCTCTTGACCTCATGACCAACACCCCTCGGCCTCCCAAAGTGCTGGGATTACAGGCTTGAGCCACCGCACCCAGCCTCTTTCTGCTTTATTATCAAATTCCACTGACCACCTGCTCCTTCAGGCCATCACTCACATACCGTTTCTTCTGGACTCCTTGTCCTGCATGTTCTCTTCTACGACTGTTCCATTAAGCTTCTGATATGTCTCTTCCAAACACATATCTCGTAATATTTGGAGTTGTATGGCTGTCTCATCCATCCAACCCTGAGAGTTTGACTCAGGGGTTGGCAAACCTTTTTGGTAGAGGGCCAAATAATGAATACTTTTTGGCTCAGGTATGTCTGGTATGCTACAGCAGACATCCAAGTCATAGAGCAGTGTGGCTGAGGTAGGGGAGGAGGAGCAGAGAAAATGGAGAGAGGAATAAATTTTAGAGGTATTTCGGAACCAATTTTAACTGGACTTGGGTGATATTAATTATTAGTTGTGGAAATGAATGGAAGAAAGGATGGGGTGAAGTAGAATGGGAAGGCAGTGCTGGATAGAGTTTATAAAAGAGATTCAGGTTCCAAGACCAACTCTTGGCACCAGCAACTAAGCCAGGGAGTATTTTGAGAGCTGGTCTTGATGAATCCGAAGATTGCGGCAAACACCACGATGTCCATTAGTGATGATAAGTAAGAGTGTAACTAAGGCTCTGACACTGGAAAGGGGTTGGTAGAGCAAAGTATCCCCCACTGGACAATCATTTGTGCTTTTGTCAAAATTGCTGGCGGATTTCATGTACTTTTAGGGAAACAGAGGTTTTCATGGTGCAAGACAAAGGACGAAGAGCAAGGAGGTGGAGGGTAGCTTGATATTGAAAATTCAGTCATAGGTATTAGAGCACCAGAGTCAAGAGTAAAGAATTATAGGAAGCGACAACCCAACCAGAAAATAAGAGAGCGAGAGCTGCAGTTTGTGGTCATTGATGTTTCAGAGAGACGTTCAGCTGAAATACGCAACCAGGACTGTATCTGGAAGCTGAGTTTAATACATAATTCAGAAACCACCTTAACTCACTGCACTTTTAAATGAGATGTTGAAATTGTTGTCCAGCCGTAGTGAAGAGTTGACTCCTCATCGGTCTTCTCTGGCCAAGACGTGCTGCCCAGGTTGGAGAATTTCGTCTCATTCTGAGAGCTTTCAGTCAATCTGATTGCATTTGACCAGGGAGGCCTCAGTAACGATGTCACTTCACCCTTTACCCTCAGGCTGAGTCAGCGCGGAAAGCTCAAGAAACTAAGCGACCAAGGCTCTCTACTACATGTCAAGAATCCTTTGCCCCTTCCTCCCACAGCTCCATGCAGCTTCACTGTTAGCCAATTATTGTACCCCTTTGTCTAGGAGTACCCATTTATAGAAGTGTTATGCATGAAATAATCCACTCACCTTAACCATGCGGAGACACTGAAGAAGGAAAAGGAGCTTGAATAGAGAGCTCTGCATGTGCATCTGTTCCTGCAATACACTGATCACCGATCACCTCTGCCTAACCCATGTATCAAAACTCTCTGCAAATAAGGATGTGGCAATAGTTCCACCTGAGGCCAGATGTGAAATTCAGGTTGGGACTTGGAGCTGTAAAATGTTGTACCTTGACTTCTTTCAAAATAAAAATATTCAATTACACAGCCATTAAAAATATGTTCTAGAACTATATATCAAGACATTGGAAAATGTTCATGATAAATTATTAAATCAGATACTAGATTATAAAAGAATGTTCTCAGTATAATTAAATTTCCATTTTTATTGGGCAGCCAAGGCAAGAGAAGAGAATTGCTTGAACCTGGGAGGCAGAGGTTGCAGTGAGCCGAGATCACACCACTGCACTCCAGCCTGGGCAACAGAGTGAGACCCTGTCTCATAAATAAACAAATAGAATAAAATTTCTATTTTTAAAACAGGCATAGAAAGGACTTGAATGTAAAGTGAAATCTTAAAAGTCATGATCTCTAGGTAGTGAAACTAGTAATAATTTTTATTTTCTATGTTTAGATTATCAATATTGTCTAAATTTTTCAATAACAGATACTACTTGTGTTATAAAGATGTATGTACTTTCAAATGTACTATCCAACATTCATAACATGTATGGAAGCCTCATTATATTGTCATCCATCCAATGAAACAGGGATATAACCTGAACGCTCTCATGTAATGACAGAACATTCAATTCAAAGTTGGGCAGGCCAGGCATGGTGGCTCACACCTGTAATCCTAGCACTGTGGGAGGTAGAGGCAGGAGGATCACTTGAACCCAGGAGTTCAAGACAAGACTAGGGAACATAGGGAGACCCTGTCTTCATAAAAAGTAAAAAAATCATCTGGGCATAGTAGCATGTGCCTGTGGTCTCAGCTACTCAGGAGCCTGAAGCAGGAGGATTGCTTGAGCCCAGCGTGTCAAGGCTGCAGTGAACTGTGATGACACCACTGCACTCCAGCCTGGATGACAGAGCAACACTCTGTTTCAAAAAAAAAAAAAAACAAAGAAAACTAAGTTGGGCTGCCTTGCTTTGCCAGTTTTGGTAATTTAGGAGACTTCACTGTGCCTCAGCTGTCCCATTTGTAAAACGAGAATCATACTGGTTGCTAATTCTAAGGTTGTAAGAACAGATGAAAAAAATGCTTACAAATTGCTTAACATAGAGTAAGCTCCCAATAAATATTAGTTAATCTTATGATTACTTAAGTAATACTTTTCTTGAATAGGGGCCAAGAAGCTTCTAGAGTGCAGTGTGATATTTTGTAGGCACCAAGTGCTTTAACTGTAAAGAAGGCCATCTCTAGTGAAGGCCAATGCCAAATACGTTGCAGAAGCAGTAGTTTTATGGGAAACTGTTAGAGAAAACCATTAGCCAGAGGGGCTGACCCTTCCTGCCCCCTGCATGCAGTTATCCCACAGCATACCTGATACTTCTCAGTGCCTTGGCTCCCCGTAGATTCTTAATACATCCAACGCAGAAATTCTAGCAATGAACCTAGAAAAAAAAAAGTTATCATTCCAGTGTCTTTTAGGTTACTCTGGGCATGAACTGAGGCTTTCATATATGGAGTGACTAGACAACTTCAAGGATGGTAATTGTTGATACCAAAACCTTATTGACGGAGCCATTTTATTGGAACTAAAGAGAGTTTGGGGTAGATATATATTTGTGGGGACATAATTTTACTTGTTTAGGGTCATTTAAATGTGTACAAATGTAGAGGGAAGATTGTAATTGTCTTAGTTCATTCGGGCTGCTACAACAAAATACTACAAACTGGGTAACTTATAAACAACAGAAATTCATCTCTCTTAGTTATGGAGGCTGAGAAGTCCCAGATCAAGGTGCCAGCAGATTCAGCTTCTGGTGAGGGCCTGCTTTCTTGTTCGTAGGTGGCACTTTCTCTTCATGTCCTCACAGGACAGAAAGGGCAAGGCAGCTCCATAGGATCTCTTTTATAAGGGTACCAGTTCCATTCATGACTCCATCCTCATGACCTCATCACCCCTGCCAAAGACCCCACCTCCTAATACCGTCATCTGGGGAGTCAGAATTCCAACATATGAATTATCAGGGACACAGACATTCAGACCATAGCAATAATGAACATCCATGTACTCACCACCCAGCTTTCACAAATATCAACACATATACAATACTGAAAAACACACATATTAACTGACAAATCTCAAAGCATAATTGTATGATTGTCCCTTTAGTTATCCGAACTGAGAAAGCAGAGATGTCTCAGCTTAGCCCACTTGGCCAAGTCTTGCTTTTGACCTCAGCTGAAGCAGAACGGCTGCTACCTTCATATTGTAACACGGAGACTTCCTAAGTGCTGATGTTGGTAACTACCAAATACAAAACAATTAGATGGGAACATGATGGAATGTGTGTTTTCAATACCAAAGGCATCTAGGAGCCTACTTTGTCAAGAAATGCTAACGAGTAGATGCGTCTATGAATATGTAGTATGCAATCCACTTCATTCTGCCTACTCTGAACTGCCTTTATTAAGGGGTATTTTATGTGGATTCTGTGCGATAGAGACAAACGTGCCACCCCTCGACAACGTAATAGACTAGACCAGTTCTCTTTTTTTGAGATGTCAAATATCTACTTTATTATAGTGAGAAAGTGACAGTCAATTTAAATCAAAATTTATGGAGAACATTAGTAGCTGGAAGGACTTTGGCTAATCACTGTAATGTCCCCAACAAATGCTAAATGAAAGCATAAGGAAATTGAGTTAACACAAGTTAAAAGTTCACATACTTAAGGAATTATATTAGAAGACCTACAACTTAATTAAATTATCTGAAACTGCTCATTTAGCTTCTATTGTACTAGTGAACATTTATGCCATTTTACTGTTAGATATATATTAAGTAATAGGTTTGGATTGGGTCAAATTGGGAGAACCCTAATGAGGCAGAACAGGGGAAAGTTTAATCCATCATAAAGCATCATTCTGAATCTTTATATTGAACATTATTAGGCAGAGATTTCCCTGGTTAGTTGGTTACTCTCTTATATCTATCATTCTGACATTTTGAATAATTGAAAAATCAAACAGGAACTTTGTACATGGAAAAAATAATCTGATGGAAAAGAAATGTGTTATTGATCACATAATTTTTTTTCAGTCTTGTATTTGCTTTTTCAACTGTAGAAGTTCAAGAAGTGGTAAATGTGCCATATTTTAGACATTAAAGGCATTGCTAACAGATTTGACACAAAAGATAATGTTATGAGGAGATGCGAAAGACAGAAATGTACATGTAAAATGACATATTTAATATTTATTTCCTTATTTTGAATTCATTTAAGGTCAGTAAGTTCTTAAATCCGAGGTCTTAAGCTATTGAATTGTTTCTTTCAAAATGCTTTTTAATACACAAGGCAGGGTATTCAGTAACTTCATATGCCCGGCACTCATCTCTTTATGGCTGCTAACTTAACCTTTTTTGAGAAGAGTAAGTCTCCATAACTGAGGTTTGCCACAAATTACACGTGTATGGACTCTTCCTGAGGAGATTTGTAGTAAATCCAGAATGGAGCTGTGCTCTCTTACAGAGAACCCCAAAGCAGCTGTGAAGCTTTTGCTGCAACTGAAAAAAATGTGACCTTCTATTCAATCCTTAGAAAACAATTTATATGTCAAAGTGTAACTTTTTTAAAGTCATAAAACCTTTGGAAAAATCCTGCCATTTTTTTTCACTTGTGATGGAAATATACTGAAAAAAATAAACTATTTGCCATGATACTTGGTAACATACATGCACACGCTAAGAAACGAGTAAGAAAAAATATGGCCTCCCACAGACTCCTTTCTAACTGCTTGCTGGGGGGAAAACATAAGCTGCCTCCTCTCCGCTGCATTTAGAGAACTAATTCTCATATGAAATGAAAGGTCCCGTCCGATCCTATTTCACGGTAGCTTTGAGTGCTTGACTGTACCAAAGCAAAGGGCATTACTTGATTGTTCACTGTTGACATTACTTTACACCAGAAGGTGGCAATTATTTTAATAATCACACTAACAAATCTGTTTTGCCTTCAGATTAGATTTTTAGAGATGACGTTCACTTGATTTTTGTCGGGAAGATGCCTTTTAAAACCAGTAGCATTCACTTACGGATTTATTTCTCAAGTTGGTTTTTCACTCCTACTAATTGGCTAAAATATTACATCTCTTTTGAATATAAGCTGCACAGTTTGTATATTTCTCTTTACTAAACCTTATTTGTTGGGCTGAAACAATTAAAAGGGCTATTTAAGGTGACAATGCAGATAAAGCAATATCATAATAGAGTATAAGTAGACACCAGCTATCATTTAAATATGCAGACTGCACTTAATTTTTTATTTACAAGGAAAACTGGTGAAGAATTTCTTCAGTTGACCATGACATCTTAGAAATGTAGGGATTAATAAGATTTATGTCGATACACAATGAAAAATCTTTCATGTATAAATCACAAGGCATTTATGTCTAACTTACCTCACAGGGTGGCAAGATCCCATAAACTCCTCAATTAAAACTGAGTGGAAGATAATAACCTTCTTGAAGCCCAGGAGTTCACAAAAAGCCTATCACCCTTCTGAACCGTATGACAAAATGCACAGAAACATCCCAAATACCCACACACTGGAACTGCCTGAGAATGCACCTCCTAAGACAATTTTCCAAAATCTGTCATCTGAACACTGTTTGCCATCCATAAAGAAAGAGGAAGAGGAAGGGGAGGTAGAGAATAATGTTGGCTCTGTGAAACCACAGCATTCTTTCCAGATGGTCTCTTTTTCCACAGCTTAGGTTACCTACATGACAAAAGGATGAGAGGCCAGGGGTGAGCGCTCTTTTTTTGTAAAACTGAGAACTCCAGACATTTGTCATCCAGAAAAAATGCCTGCCTCTCAGCAGGATAGATTTTTAAAAATTTTTCTCAGTGCCTTTCTCTAATTGGGCTTCCTCAACTTTTCACACATCCTTTCCTTGAACAAGTCCACAAAAGCCAAAGTTCCCCCACACCTAGTCACCAATGGCAGGCCCATAAATCACAAGAAATTGCCCAGGATTTTTTTTTAACATGATGCAATTAGCGCCTATAATGTGGGAAAACATTTTATAATATATAACGTATTAAAGCAATAGGAAATAGCATGTCAGATTTCTCATTAGCAAATTCTAATAATGGCTAACATAAAAATGTGCCTATCTATTAATATTTTTTCTTCGATTCACATTTAAAAGAAAAATATTACAGTGTCTTAGTATCTGTGCAATACTCGTGTAGAAATTTATTATACCAAAGTGATCTGGCATCCCGAAACTAGCAAGAGCAATATGAAAATTTAAAGATAGCTGAATGCCCATTCTTTAATTTTACTAAAATAATGAAAAACATATATTATTTGAGCTTACAAAACATGTAAATACGAATTCAAATGGAGCATATATTTTGCACGTATATATTGTATTTTTCTACTCAGTATTAAAAACCATTTCTCTTTTATGCTTTGCTTTCTTTTGTCCTCTAAAAGAAAGGAGAAACATGAATCTTAAAATCATCCACCAGCTCTTTCTAAACTCTCATATTTAGGAAACTTTCCTTTTAACTTTGAGGAATTATTGTTAAGTTGCAATTTAAATAATAGCTTGTAAATTTTGACAGCCTAAGAAGCCTGTAAATAGTTGCTTTTCCTTTGAAAAGCGCTGGCACTAAAAGTTAGGGCATTTGAGGGGTTTCGTTGATTTGGGGGAAACTATTTTGATGCAAATATTAAATTATTAAAATAGGACTTTCCGCAAGAACTGGTAAGCGGGCATAATGTCTTTTACCTCCCAGCTACCAGTCTGACCCTGGCTCAGGCCTCCGGAAGAAGCCACTTGCTAGTCATAGTCTGTCTTTTACCCAGACACAGCACAAATTAATAAGCCACCCTCAAAACCTCTACACGCTGCAGGAACACGACTAAGACACCATTACCCAAGCACTAACATCTGCCAATTCTAAAAAGCTCTTTATATTAAAAAGAAAAAAAAAAAAGGAAAGGAAACAGTTTCCACCTTCTGGGTCTCTTCTTGCCACGTGTGTGTATCTGCCCTCCTGTGCAGACCCTTTAATGTTAGATGAGAAAATGGGAGAGGAAGCTATGATAGAGGAATAGAAATGGAGAGAAAGCTAAAATATATTTGTTTTCTTCTTTAAAATTCATTTTATGGGCTTTTTGTAGGAAGGTTTTTTTTTCTTGATTTTTCTCTTTATTTCTGGCATCAACTATATTTCAGTTTGCTTTTGAGTAAGAAAGATTGAAGGGCAGATGAAAGGCCAGCTGCAGTGGGAGGCTGCGGTGGAATTAGGTTCTAGTTGCAGAAACCTGCCTGGTCTTTTGTTTTCTTTTTGGTTTGAGCATACTTAGAAATAAAATGGGTCTCTAAATCACAGATTGTGACTCTGGGGAATGTACAAGACATCTTCTGACTATAAAGAATACTACACTGACAGGCAGGAGGCCTTGGAAGGTACCAACTTTGCCAATTGCTCACTCACTATTTTTTGAACAAGTCTTATTACCTCTCTGGGACTTGATTTTTTTAATCTCTGAGATTATTCTAATATTGGATGTGAATATTTTGAGTTCTTACCAAAGTGTGTTTGGCCCGAGGAAGCTATATAATGACACTTTTTGATCTTTGTATTTCACAAATTCAGAACAGAATCGCTCACCAGACACAGATCTGGGCACACACCCCCTGAGCTGATCACACAAACACATTCTGAGTTTCTCTTCCTGTCTGTGGGCTCACCAGAACTCCTGGGCTACAGGAAAATGAGTCCCAGGACTGAATTCAAAGGATGCAAGTAAACATCTACTAATTAAAAGAAGGGCTCGTTTTATGCAGATTTACAAAATAAATTAATTCCTACATGCTAAGTCTGTTTTCACTCAAGGTTAATGTGGGCCAATAGATGGAAAATTGTTTTAACAATTGAAATAATAAACTTTTGGGAGAACACACAAAATCCTTACTGTGTCCAACTTGTACTGAAGGAAAATTCCTCTTCATTGGACAAAAACGAAGGCACATGGTATACCAGGAGACCGTTTGGTGCTTGATGTCAATGAGTCAGGGAGCATCAGAACTATTTTTCTTGTATTAAGCGTTTAGGCTATATTATGCCAACTTGCATGGGTTGAAGACAGCATTAATATTAACTAAGGATGGAAGTCTGAGAGGCAGTGACTCTCACCTCCCCACCCCACCTTGCTTCCTTTCATGCTAAATCCATTAGTGTAGACGGATCGACATAAATAAACAAGAAGGATAGAATAGCTCTCCATTTGGGGACACTTTTACTTGCCCCTTGGCACGCATGGCCCATACATGGCCACAAGATGTTTGACCTATTCAATGGCATTTGTTCGTTCATTTATTTATCCCATGTGCTTCAAACCATTTTTCCCCTAGGCACCTTATACTCCTTACAATTAGAATCTATTAAAAAGTTCAAATCTCTGACAAGGAGGGCATCAAAAAGAACTTGAGGGCAGAGTCTGTCATTCATCTTCATAATCCTTGGGAGCCTCAGATCCAGCTTTGCACAGTAGCTTTTACACAGTAGGCGTTCCATAAATGCTTACTGAATGGAACCAAATTGAATTGCATTGTCAAATTCCAAACTGTTTCATGTGATCTTATCATCACCTTCTTATCACCTCCCAGTAATAAGACACATACCTAAAGATTTATATATACACATGTATATATAATATATACATACATTTCTAAAAATAATTTCTCTCCGGTGAATTCAAGCAAAACATACAGTGAATGTTTCTATAATAGGTAGATATTGAATGTTTTAAACCTTATATTTACAAACGATTTTCGTTATAGGTATGAAAATAAGCATAGGGTTTTCTGGATCATAAAGGAAAATTTGGGTTAACACTATACCATATAGCTGGAAGGGAGCATGTAGGTCATCTGATCCTGTGGTCTTCAGAGGGTATTCCTTGTCACCCAAGGGTTCCTTCAAGTATTCCCAGGGCTACCAAGAGGCAGGAAAGCAGCTAACGTGGTACAGGCAGCGTCAAAGGCACTCAGCCTTATCCCTGTCCTTTAACAGAGAAAATGCATTTCGTAATATATTGGGCTTCTCTGTTCAAATGTATTGAATAACAAGTTTTCACCGCTTTAAAATAATTAAAACACAGTCTTTGATTTAAAGAAAAAAGAGAGAGAGAACCAAAGCAAAGGACTGAATGTTTATGTCTCTCCAAAATTCACTTGTATGTTGAAATCTTAACCACCAAGATCATTAGAAAATGAGGTCTTTGAAAGGTGATTAAGTCAAGAGAATGGGATTAGTACACTTGTAATTAGTCCCTCAACCCTTCTACAATTTCTTCTGGCCAGAAGACAGTGGTCTATGAACCAGGAAGTGGGCCTTCACCAGACACTGAATCAATTGGCACCTCAACCTTGGGCTTTCCAGCCCCCAGAACTGTAAGAAATAAATTTTTGTTGGGCATAATCCACCCAGACTATACTATTTTGTTATAGCAGCCTGAACAGATGAATACAACCATTTACAAACAGGTTCTCTTGGGCACACAGATTTTCCATCATCTTGTTAAGGTCATATCACATAGCTATGGAGTTCTGAGTTGTGCCAAAAATCAGGTCTCCTGACTCCTGGTCCAGTCACAGCTTACGTAGGTAGCAGAGAAAAGTAAGAGAAAGAGATTTTCTTAAATTAGAATGGGTATGCCCCAACCTAAATCTTTACGGCTACAACCACAGGAACTCAAAAGAAACTAAAAATCAACCGAAAAATCAATTAAGGCGCTAACATTGACTTGCACTCCCTGCTAGTCACAATAATTAACAAGAGACTAATACCTAGTGAGGATTTATTGATTTAAAAAAAAAAAACAAACTATTGGACTTCTCTCTCATGTAACAGAAGACAATATTTTTCTATTCCTAACCCCTTTGGCTTCTAAGAAATATACATGATCACTGGGTTACCTCAGGATACCAGGTCCTGGGCATACTGCATTCCATCATGTTCAAAATAAACATAATATTAGCCTAATTTACAATTCTATCCTTCAATTTGATATGAATTACATTTGAGATTCTATTTTCATAAATCACTGTTTCCCTGTTTATTAGTGTCACATTAAGAATTATTAGGAGATTTTAGCCAATGCTACTATATATATAAACGTAAATATATAGTATTAGCCACAAGTATCTTTGAGGAAAAGACACAGTGTACTGCTTTGCAGCAAAGTTTAATACTTTCAATGTGCTATCATATTCATAAAGCCAACGTCGACTCAGTCTATCTGATTCCTAGACTACAACAAAAAATAAAATAATTATTTTCATTATTAGCCAAGTAAAATATTCTTAAACTTTAAAATGTTTAGTATCTGAAATTATTTATTGGACAATCAGGTTCACGCTTTTGAATTCTTGAAAATTGCTCAGACTTCAAATTCTGTATATAATACGCGAAGGTTAATTCACCTTTTCTCAAGGTGACATTGTTTTAAAGGCAGGGAAGAAGTACTTTTAGGTGAAACACAACGCAGCCTCTGGGAATATGTAAGGGTGTGCTTTTACAATGATAAGCAAAACCAATAATGTTTGCAACAGACCACCCCGTAGTGGGAACTGCTTTTCAGCCTGGTTTTTGTCAGACCAGCAGCTGTTCCATCAGTCAATTAGTGACTAGGAACAAAATGGGTTTTGGAAATCAATTAGCAGCCCCTCCAACTGGATAAAGATCC